ACCCTAATGAAGTTGGGAAGTTGAAGGATTTGATTCCAATCGGACATTTTAAACGATTGCTCAAAGGTTTGGAAATGAGATCTATGGTTTGTAACTGTTTTATGAATTTCTAATTATAGATAGATGTAATTGTAAACTGTAATGTAATTTGTAATGTAATCTTTTGCCGCTGTCTTGGCCAGGACTCCCTTGAAAAAAAGATTGTTAATCTCAATGGGACTTTTCCTGGTTAAATAAAGGAATAAAAATAAAATAAAATAAATGTTTCTGGTTCTTTTATGGTCATACACTTGAAAATCAAACAACTAAAAAATTTAAATAAAATAGTTAAATTTAAGCAACAATCCCTATATTTACCAAAGCACTCACATTTGCCATGGATAGAATGTCATTGATAAATACTAAAAAGCAGTGTTGCGCTGATGCTATTTTTTGGCCCAGATACCGATACCCGATACCTCGCTGTGTCGTATTGGTCGATACCGATACCATCTATTTGAAATTGATGTGTGTGTGCATATATGCAGAACTGCATACTACTTGGATGTAAAATAATTGCCATCATGGCTTTTTCAAGCTGCTGCCTACCTTAGTGAAGCAGGAAAAAGACTAATACAAAGTAAATCCAATAGAACGTTTTATTGCCTAGCTGGAATGGGTGACAATAGTTACATTTCTGGCCCTATTTGTTGGTACTTGCCGATACCGATACCACCATTTTAGTGCTGGGTCGGTGCCCCGCCCGATACTGGTATCGGTGCAACACTAGTAAAAACGAATATGTATTCATACTACAAACTCAGTTAGCAAATTGCTAACATTTAGCAACTTTTTCTATACAAAACAATAAAAACAACATACCTATTCTTTATATCAGGAGTATTAAACTCAGTTTGCATTTTTTTAAATCATTAAAGGCCTAGTTACAGCTCTATCCATTAAGTTTGTTTTTTCTCATTTCATTTAAAAAACAGCACACTGCTCTGGTATTATAATATTACATCACATTTATTTAGTTATTAGCCACCTTGTACCCTCTAACAGAACACACGCCTTTATTTTTATGAGATGATATGCCTTCTTTGACAGTTTAGGATAAATTGTCGTGGTGGGCCGGACCCAGCCTTGGGTTTTTACACATGCTTTAAATCAACTCAGACTCATGTCTCTATGCTGCTCTCAAACTTTTTGGATTATAGATTTATTTCAAATGCTCCTCAGTTCCTGATTCTTCACCTGTGGCACTGCTGTTAGTGGGACTTGCCTGCTGTTTAATAGTGCTCAGAACAAAATTTGGCATTAAACATTTTTTAAGTAAATAGAAGGCATCTATAACTGTGCTCCATTTGGCCGTGAAGCCAAAGTTTTACATGTTCCAGTTCTCAGTTGAAGAACTGGAACCAGAACGGGTATTTATAACCTAAATGCGTATCAACTCTATAGCCTTTCATTTACCAAATTATGTTATTCAGTAACTGACTGAAATATTCAAATCAGATCTCCGGAATTGCAAAAAAAATTTTTTTGTTTCCTTATTTTAAAAAGTTACCAATGCAAGGCAGCCATACTGCATATAAAGTTCAAGAAAACCTCAGATTTTCCAGACTTTTAGGAAGCTTTCTGAACATTTCTCCAACTTTAAATGAAAATACTTTGGACACTTAAAAACACTTCACTGCAACAGAATGTAAATCTAAACAATTCTTTTTAATAATAAGTGCATTTTTCTTGAATTGAGCAGATAAGTGCAACCCTTTGCCAATCGAATAAGACAATTTACATTCAAAATTAGAAAAAAAAACAGCTGCAGTCTCTTATTTCAAATGCATAACATTTAATTATCTAATTTTAAGGGTAAAAATACTAATTCCATTGGTAGATCATCTTATTTACAAACTCAAATTAATGGTATATACACTTATTTTAAGAAATGTTTCCTAAATTTCTTTTTTGCAGTGTTTACCCTTTAAAAATGTATGACAGAACACAACAACCTACACTGCAAAAAAATGTAAATCTAAATAAGTATTTTTTTTCTTAAAATAAGTGCATTTTTTCTTGAACTGAGATGGTAATTAAGACAGTTTGCCAATAGAACGAGACAATTTACATTTAAAATAAGAAAAAAAAAAATGAAATTGTCTTATTTCAAGTACATATTATCTAATTTTCTTATTTTCAGAGTAAAAATACTCATTCCATGGGCAAATAATCTTATTTACCTACTCAAATTAAGGGTAAATACACTAAATTTAAGACATTATTACTTATTTCTGGATCTTTTTTGCAGTGTAGAAAAATGTCAAAGTCCCATCTTACTTTAGTTTTAAAAAGTTACATATGGATGCTACTTCTGATGTTTAATTTAAAAAATTTAAATAAAAGCATGATTAATATTAAGGCATAGGCTGATTCTATAGACCATTAACTGAACGCGAAACACTGGCGTGGACATAAACACGATAAATAAAGCAAGATTTTTGTTTTGACTAAATGTTGAGATGGAAATATCTGTACATATGAGTAAACACTGCTGACTGAGCTCAGTAAACATGTTTTTGTTGTTGATGAAATATCTGGAACTGAAATAGTTTCCATAGTTCATCAGCATATGTGGCTTAGAATTTCCCAAAATATTTACTATTATGAAAAGCAAGGAAGTAAATGAGCAACAAGAAGATCCCAAAGGACAATATATTCACTGTCTGAAAACACATCTGCCCTGAGCACCACAATATATTTCTAGTGTTTTTTTTTTTTTTTTGCTTACAATATAAACCATATGTGTGAAGACCTCCCCCACAACTAATTTCATTCAGATTTATCTCTGAATATTGCGTCTTTCTCAGCTTTTATTAACAAAGTTGTCCACATAAGGTTGATTAATCCTCGCTTTAAGGTTTTCGTCAGACTCCTGCAATAAAAAGGGACAGTGGACAGTTCAGGACATTCTGTCCTTCAGGGCTAGTGTGTCTCTTTATGAGAGTCAGGCAGCGTATGATGTTTTTGAATAGAGAAGTGAAATCCAGACTGAGTAATGCCTCTGCATGAAATATTAGCAATGCAACACAAAAAGCTTGTTATTACGACAAAAAAGGTTGCAGAACAAAAAGATTACGTTTTAACCTTTTCCCTGGCAGGAACAGCTAAGATGTTCAGGTGCCTGCTAGTTATTTCCCATAGTTTTATGAGGCTCAATTATCTTAACCTGACTCCGCCAGATGGATTTGCTCCGCATATCCATCTGGAAACCTTCCGTTGAAGTAATTTTGGGAAGGTGCGAAAATACTGGTTAGC